TATTGTGCTGTGAAGGAAATAATGCACATCAATGTTATTAAATCAGGAGGCAGGAAACAAGGTACAATTTGACATGGAATTTATGTGATACGCCAAAAAAAAGCAAAAAAACTGTCAAAACCAAAATGAGATATGAATTGTGTAAGTCCATTATTATTCCAAATCTTGCTCCCTGTCAGGGTAACTGCAGCCCATAGCCTATCCTGGAATTACCATGTACTGTAAGGAGGCACCACACTCTGAGTGGGACACCAGTCCACTGCAGGGCACACTCATACACAGGGACAGTTTAGAAAAAAAACACTATTCTAGCACCCAGTCTTGAAGGTGGGAGTGCTCTCAGTGCAAATGCAGTAAAATCATATAAACTACACAGTTGATTGGCTCTCAAGTGACACTGAGTAATGTAAATGTAGAATATTTAACAGAGGTAATGTCATCTATCGTCTGCTTTGTGTTCTGAGCAGCAGGTATTCTACACATATATTCACACATAGCATGTACAGGTATTAGCACAATTGAATGTCATTATTAAGTCATGACACTTAAAGAATTTATCACTTTAAAGATTATAGTACAGTATAATACAGGGATCTACAGGAATCCTGTAAATTATCTCTCAGGAACTGGACAAGCACAAATAAATGCCCTTTTCTCGGCACATACATGGACATTGTGTCCAGTAAAAGTCATGTGAAACCTAATTTGGAGTTGGAACCTGAGCCCGAAATGGCATCCTTGTGAATTTCTAGGCTGCCCTGAAAGGGTCACACCGCACCAACAAAAATATTTCCCAACAACAAATCGGTAACAATGATCTGGCAAACTTCCTAATTTTAACCACGAGACCACAGTGCTTCCCTCATAAATATAAGGTCAGAAAAAATACATGTCCGCTACAGTTCTCCCTGGACACTGATTTAATGGAATCACACCAAGCATCTGTCCTCGTCACTCAAAGTGACATTGTCTGCGTGTACAGCGTTGTGCTGCAGGCCCAACAAACAAACGCCTGACTCAGGAGCAAAGTAAACAGGAAGCAGGAAGATATTTGGACCCTTCCTCTCAGCAACGGAGCAGATCTTACAGTGAAATGGGAAGTTGTCTGGCTTGAATGCCAGTTATCCACATGGCTATTTTTTAGAACAAATATTGCAGTCTTCTATGTTATTGCTGCTGATGTGACAATATCCTTTCATGTAAAAGTGTGACACATGTTTAACAATGCTTTTTATTGCCCAAATCACAACATACAGTACACATTAGGTAAACTGCTCCTTCATTTGTCGAATATTAAGAATAGTATAGCAAACAGAGGTAATAATGACCTTAAAAAAATTATAATTTACTTTTGACATAAGGGTTGTAGTTTCTGACTGAGGACGCTATAGTGGCTTCCACTTGGTTACGTAACACCCTAGCAAGCTACTGTTGCCAGCGGCTCCTTTGAATGGTATTTAACAACAAAAATACAAAGGCAGAATAAAAATTAATCATTATGTTTCAGAATATGGCTCTTTATGGATGTGCCTCTCATGGCCAAACAAATCTTTTGTCTAGCACACATTAAACACTTCAGCTTTTAAGAAGCAGAAGCTTTTTACATTGCGTAAGTAAAAGATGACCGTCTGAAGTACTGGTAGCTGATGCAAGGGACTTTGTTTTGTAGAGTAGCGTTTACTGAAATATGATGTCATTTTAAATGGCATCCAGAGGAAAGTAACTCAGTTTAACAAGAGCCTCTACCCTCCCCCTTTCCCCCCTCTGTGTATAGTTATAAATATACATCATATATCTAAGGAAGCACACGTGGCTTAGCTTGTTCAAACAGTGGCCATGAGACTGCAACAGACGGACACCAGGTGTACAGGGCACATGGAAATCTATTTATGGCTCCTTGTTTACAGGATAAAGGTAGCCTTTGAACAATAACATGTCTTACCTGCTTCCAGATGGCATTTGCATTATTTTATATTGTGTATATAAATTATGGCAAATAGAAAACATATATGGACATACTGTATATACCAATTCCCTTAAGAATATCCACTCTGGAATACTAATGGTGTGAGAAACTCCTTCCAAAGGAGAAAAACACTATTTACGTGTATTTAAACAGAGTGCGAGAGAGAGATTAAGAGTGAAAGATGCTTCGATTTTTAGACATTTTTTGCAGTCTGTGAGAATTTGTTGGTACTTTAACGAAATCTCCAAAGTACAACAGATTTACCAGAGCAGAGAAAAACTCTCTAAAGCAAGTCAGTAACAGTCTGTTAAACACATTGCTGTTACACATACATCAGCCATAAATCTAAAATGTAAAAACAGGAGTAAATACCCAGAGTCTGTAGCCTAACTCTTCTAGTGCTATATAATAAATCACTGTGTCGTCCTCGTTTATGCATGGTGTAGTTAACTAATTGCTCTGTGTCTACAAAAATTAAAATGGTTAAGGAGAACTATCTAACAAGCAATTAATTAGAAGGAATTCCTGTCAGAGTAAAGAGGTTCTGAAGCTCGATAACTGCTTTAACGGGATTCTTAATAAATTAGGAGAGGACTGTTGAATATCGACTAATTAGAAACAAGTATTTAAAGGTCAAATTTTACTTTAGCACGGGGCACAAATTACAATGTACTAGTAGTTCCTGAGGAAAAGAAAGATAAGTGGAAAAAAATAAGCAAAATTTAGAAATTCCCTGAAACAGTCACAAAAAAGAGTTCCTCAGACAAAGTCTTTGCAAATGTAATCCCAATGCCAAACTGAAAATCCAAGTATGATATTGAAAGCTCACTACAATGCAATGCAGACAAGCCACTCTTCTGCCTAACTGTTTCAGCATACTCCAGGTACTGTAGGAATAATATGCTGAGTCTGGTCCAATACTGTCCCATGAGAGGTGTCGGCCCAGGCTCAGTGTACTAGGTCACTGTCAGTCCAATACTGGAAAACAATTTGTTATGACTTTCCAACTTTAGCCTGCTGTGCATTGGGATAACATTGGCCCAGTCCACACAATAATACTGTCATTGTATTACCAATATACATGAAGGTGGCAGTATAGCATAGTATTAGGACATGTACCTAGAAGGTTCTTAGATAAACAGATACAGTACAACACTGTATATGCTGTATGAGTGTAAACTAAAAGTGCTTTGATTGAAATCTTCAATTTAATACATGGACAATAATACTACCTGATTTTGGACAAACATTTACATGTTATCTTGAAGAGTAATAGAAGTTACTATTACCATTAGTTACAATTAAGAATTGGGGACTTGTATTTGAAAGGGGGGAATAAAGTTGGCTGGAGAAGCACTGACATGATGCAGGCAAGAAGAAATGGAACTGAAAGATTCTACTGCAAATGCAAACTTTAGGAAGAACTGTCAACTCCATCATGATCTCCAACTTTTTCACTTAATATACAGTAGATACAATGATGCATATGGAACCTGTTTTTTACCTCGTGTTTCCATTGATACACCCCAACATTTCAAATTAAATTGAATAACTAGATGAAAACATGGTGTCATGGGCGTCTATTAATATAAATGTACTGTATAAATTGCCTTTTTTTGGAACTGAAAACTATTAATCATCTGAGCTTTACCACTTCAGCTCCTGTATCACCTTAGGAGTGACTAGGATTGTGCACATGAAAAGCTGCTTATGTTTATGTGAATGTCTAAGAAAGATCAGAGAGAAAGTGACACAATAAGATACTAACACACAAATGAACAGGTGGATCACATGGCCTCCTCTCTTTTGTAATCACTCTGTTGTTCTTAATACCTGAAGACAAAGGAGCAACTCCCTTTTATTTCATTGCAAACTGAAACCTGAATCGAACAGTAGTAGTATGCACACAGTTTATAATCTTGGAAAATGTACTGTATGCAAGGATGCATTATATGAACTTTGATCTGATTAAACTGAAATATTGCTTTCACTCTTAGAGACTTCAAGAAATCCTTACAATATAAATACCCAGTAAGTGGTATCATCAGTCAATTGGGTAGTTTATGTAAAAAGCCAACAAAAAGTATATTTGAGTGATCTGCATTTAACATGATGCAGTGGATTTAACTTCTCATGGCTGAGTGTTTGTGTTCGGCTGCTGATATAACCCTCTTCTGGGTTTTTACTGCCATACTGCTTTTGCAACAGTGCAACAGTTACTTTTTCATGATGATATTAACATTGTGGCCTTTAGTCCTCAAACTTCTTGTTTTATTTTTAACCTTGCCAGGCTTACTTTAAAGTAGCTCTAGTTAAGCAGGCATGATTAAAAGCATTTTAGACAATCTTATTGCACCCAGAAAGTGTTTATTGAGGAAGTGTTCCAGATGCACAGCAAACTTCTTTTTTGGATTTGCTGGTTTTCTCACGGGTGCTTGAAATACGTCAAGGCAGACAAAATAATTTACCAGATCAACAAAGTCACTTCTTTATATATGCAATCTTCTGCCCCAGCCTTTCCTGTCAGAATCCCTTGAAACTTTTCCTTATGTTTACCTTAACCAGTTGTGATTATCTTATTTTGTTTTTAGAAGCATTAAACAGATTTAGAGACCCCCTGGTATATAAACATCAGATGTTCACAACAGTTATAAAACCCTGTTCAGTTATATTAATATCCAGCTATCGTTCCCCATTACTGCTGCAAAACCTATACGACAGGGATAAAACAATTTTGTAGGGTGTGAATTAATGCTTGCATTACTTCTGATAACAAATTACTGTACAAGTCACACAACAGCAAAATCAAGATTTTGTAAATTAAAATTGAAGCTGACATAAAAGTAAAATCTCCAAGGAAACCCCACAAACAAATCAATAACCCTTCACACAAAGCACAAATGAAAACAAATTTCCACAATAAGAATTTACTTAGTGGGCATGAGATCCAGTCGAACTCTAAAAAAGGGTTTGGGTTTAACTCAATATAATCATAAGATTTCTCCATAACAAAAACCCACAGGAGCCTTCTTACCTGCTCCTTCATTGCTCATCTTCAAAGACACCTGTAAGAAAAGATTCAGAGAACAGAATGAATCATGCTGGAGCGTTACTTTCAAATTTTCAGTAACAGAATTCCTTTTCCATTTTTTTCACAAGAGAGAAAAGTAACTAATGTGTTTGTTTCACCACCAGCTATTTTAGTGAGCTGCTCTGTGCAGTACTGATTGCTTTACACAGTTGAAATCACAGCAAGACTCCGTTTGGCACCCCTTGATTTAGCAATATTAAAAAAGAGGTGAAGGGCACAAGAGCACACTTGATCCAAGTAGAACGTTATTGTTTTTCTAAGACTTATTCAAAACCACCAAAAAGGTTGCTACAACCTTGACAAGCTAAAAGCCAAACATTACAAAAAGGGTGTAACGATCTGTATTATTCCATTACAGAGTGGTGCTTTTTGCAAGATCTCATTTAACACGATGGGAAAAATCGTAGTCAATTCTGCTGATTTTAGAAACCCAGAATGGATTTTGTACTATTATAGGCTCTTCCATTCCAATATAAATTGATTGTATTCTTTCAAGAGAAGATGCTATCAGCGGCAAAACATTTGACATTTAACACGGTTTGTCTAATGCCCAAGAACAAGTGAGTCTGAATTTGAAAAGCTAGAGAACAAAAAGAATACCTACAGCATACACCAGCTGGAAACAGTAAATAAGCTATGTTCTTACAACATACTGTACAGTAATATGGTTCATAGATGCACAGTTAAGTACTGTACATACAGTACTAGCACCTATCTATAGACAAGGCTTTGACCCACATTGCAGTAAATGAACGTATGAGACATAAGGGAGAACAAATTCTAAACGAAATAATTATATTCCATTGGTTTCAGAGTTCCTTGATTTCTGATTTTGATAGAATTTCTTCAGTGGAATCACTGTAGTATTTTATTCTGCAATAAGAAAGGGTAGATGAGAAAACATTATTTTTCCAAAAGAACTTGCTTGCGTGTAAAGGGGAAAGCATAAATAATGCACAATTGTCAGAACAGAGTGCCTAAAATATGGGAAATTGTCTTATGACAATGATACAAGTAATAGGTTTATTCCATGCTGAAAAGAGAAGAAAGAAAACACAAGGTTTCGGCTGTGGAGTCTTCTTTGTGGTGTTTTCTTTCTTCTCTTTTCAGCATGGAATAAACCTACAGTATTACTTGTTCCTTTGCAGCCTACGCATGCTGACGCAGCTACCCACCTGAGCTACTTATGACAATAATTCTCTTTGGATTCCCATTTAGGCCATTAGGGGTTGGTTGTTCAAGAGATGTTGAATAACTACATTATTCAGAATATACAATACACAGAGCTACATTTGCTGCAGGATGGAAATGGACATAACATTGTACCGGAATAGCTAAAGATTTTATGAACTGTACTTGTCAAGCACTTTCCACCAAGTGCTTACCAAAGATCAAAGGTAACCAAATTAGAGGAGTAATTCCTTCCATCTTGGAGTGCAACATACTGGACTGCGAAAGGCTATTCACATACTGTAAGGAAACTGCCAAGCTCAACAATATATGAATCATTTAGTTTTAATTTATACAAAAAATTAAATATGTTTATTTAAATTAAATTAATGTAGAATTTCAAATTGCAGCTAAGCCACATTTCAGCTAAAGTTAAACTACATGACTCAAATTTTTCGAAGTGCTTTAAACTTTTAATTTTCCTTTTAGGATAGATGCATTATCTACATCTTTACCCAATTAACAGTACTAAAAATATCTATTTATAGCCAGCATTCTAGACCACATACTGTATATCAGGGCAAACATACTGTACATACTCTTAGAGGTAGTACATTATAATCTTGGTTAAAACATTTTAATCTTCCAAATTTTTACTTTTACATGCTTACATGACATGGTACAAATCAGTTTTGTTTAAAAACTCCTATTTGACGATACCTTGGATCAGATTTACAAAGGCTATAATGGAATGTGCATAAATATTTATACAATGTATACACCTCAATAAACAGATTTATTCAGCCATGTGGGCTGTTCTCTCTCTGGATTCATTTTAAAATGCACACACACACAGCTGTCTCAAACTATAGATAAGGCAGAAGCTTGGCAAAGATTCTCCACACATTCTGGAAATGTAGAGAAGTTGTGGCATTGGCTGTAGCATTGAAGAATGTTCACTGAAAATCAAAATAAGCTAAAAAGTCTGACAAAAAGAAAGGCTTCTTTGATTTGCGGTACCCTCAGATTTCTGGATGTAAATATGTTACTTCTTTGAGTCTTGATTATGAGTTAACTACTTTAAAAGATCATGTTTAACATTCCGGAACACATTCTCATAGTTCCTAGCCTTTCCTTTGGATCACCATATATTTGGTTAGACACTCTCAGAAATGAGTTACTGAGAAACGTCTGTACCTCTATACCTCTGGACTAGTTTCAATGACCTTATGTTAAAACGGAGTTAAGACTGAAGAAACAAGCATTTTTAAGAACAGTATTAACAACTAAAACGTCTAAATTCTAAAACATTTTTCCAAAAAGATTTGTCTGTTTTTACTCTAGTAATGAAAAAGTCCAGCTAATAATGTAGAACTGGGTGCTACTTTTGATTTTGAGTTTATTTATTATCCATAGTGAAATAGTATATTGTATATTTACTATAAATAGCAAATTGTGCATTTTAAAGATGTCAAGGATTCGAAATGTCTACTCCCTTCAAATTAATTATGTTAATATCAACTAATTCACAGTTTATTGTACTCAGTCTGTATCTATTCTAATTATTATTAGAAGTCACTTTCTCCTAGAAAAAATAATTTTATGTTGGCCTCCTAAAATACAATGTTGAACTCTCCATGTTGTATGCAAACATCAACAATTCCCATCAACAGTGTAAGCAAATTGCCCACTCTATAGTAAATGAATGTAATGGTCAATCTAAACTGAGGCAAAATCAGGCTTGTTATCTTTTACAAAGAAACAAGGACAAATGAATTGCCTTTCTTTTATTAGATCACACCAGACATTTTTGGATTTGAATTATCAGCTTCATTTCTAACATTCCAAATAACATTTTTACTGCCTTGATGACATCTATTACTTTTTCGATTACTGTACTGTACATTTTTTTATACACTGGCACAATACTTACTAATGGAAAAACCATTCATTATTTAGGTTTTGCTATTCTGGAGCTGTTTCCCATTTGCTGGCACATCAGGGCATTGGTAATTAAAGGTGAGTGTTGTTATGAATACCACTGTGCTGAAAGATAAGACACAAGGTTGGATTTCATAGAAAAATGAGTCCTAGCCTTTTAAAGACAATTCTACATTTTGTCCCCTATAGGTGTTTGCTCCACACTCAAAAACAAGACTACATGGATCCGTACAGCTTTCAAATGGAAGATGAACTTGTTTGAAGTTCTTACAGTGATGCTGCTTTGTGATGTGTAGTTCTCAGACCCCAATGTTGTGGCTTTTAATGAGACTCTGACTTGCAATACATTTCCCCAACACTCTTCTGTTTATTATAAATGCTAGAAAGGTAATTAACATGCTATTCTGAAACAGAAAACTGTGGTCTCAGCAGCTGAACTCTAACCATCTGCAGCTTCCAAAATCTTTAGAACATATACAACTAAAAATGTATTTCAAAACACACAAAAACAATACAATTTTGCAACAAAATGAAGGATTTTTTCTTCTTGGCAGCCATGAAGGCTTGATCATAGCATGGCTGACTGAAGATACTTATTCATTGATGATGTGAAGCACATTTATTAACAAATAAGAATCAGAGTAGTATAAAGTACCTAGCAAGTATAATCTGCTCTTTTCAGCTATGTTTCAAAACACTTTTCATGGCTTCATGTACTGTACGCTTTTAATCACAATTTGAATGCTCAAACCTTTTAAGGGTGAAATAAGATAAATGTCAGCATAAACATCAATGGAAAATCAAAAACTAAAACATACTGATTGCATAAGTATTCATCTCCTTTTATTAAGTTTATCATCCAACTTAAATTAGTTCAGGTTGACGAATTACTTTAGGAAGTCACAGGATTAGTTAAATGGCCTCTGTGTGTAATAATAGTAGTTCATATAGTATGATCTCAAAATAAATACTGTACACCCGTCTCTTTAATGTCCTTGTGATGGCTCTCCTTATAAATGAGTCAGGGATTTCACTGGCAGGGAGTGAATACATTAGCAAGGAATTGTACATCAATTGTTCTATTGTACAGTTATCATTTATACATTATCTTTCACCCTTCTGTCACTGTCATTTATTTTCCTGAAAAATCAATTTAGATTAAAATTGATTGAAATGCTACATTTTCGTCTTAGTTGTTTCTGTCATAAAAGGTAATAATTCAAGATATGATTTGAAAATGTGACATTTGCTATAATATATCTTTGAGTCTTTCATTTTTAAGATAGTGAAATAGTACTCTTTCACTTGGGATTCTATTTTCTCCTAAATAATTGATGGCTTTTTTGCCACTGACACAAAACTGAAAATCTCTTCACTAGTAAGCCTGAAAGCTCTGATAAAGTTGTCAAATAACAGACTGGACCCTGACTGTGACTTTGTTTTCTTTTTCACCCCTGTTCACTGGGCTGTGATGACTGGGCTTCTAAAAGCAGTAGGCGCTTAAAGCACTTGATAGTCAAAAAATGAAGATGTCAAGGAAACAGTACTTCTTTTTCTAAATCAGCTCTTGACATGGCCTAACTCTCAGTGTGTAGCCAGAATATGTGGTTCTTGCTTCAATGGAGTTGTAGAAGAGCACAGAAAAGACACCTATTCCATCCCTTTCAAAATAAATGTACTAAGCAATTTCCCATATTTCATTTGTTGCTTTTGTCTGTCGTTGATGCCGGGACTGAATAATTTATTGTCTGTTTTCAAGACTTGCAGAGTCATCTGTTTTCACTGGAAAATACAGTAAACAGTTCTTTTGATAAGGAAAGGTTTTCATGCTGCTTTTTCTAGAAAAAAGTCCATAAGGAAATG